CGCCTCAATGTCCACAGGCAACTGTCCTTTAAAGCATCCACTGATTTCAACTGCAACCACGGTGCTCAGCATCTTTGGAAAAAGCCAGGTAGTCAGTTTATGTCTGCCTCATCTGTAAGACAGGGTTAAACACCTCCTTACCTTCCTGAGGCAGCTGGATGCTAAATTCATTAGCAGATCACCTTCAGATGTGTGGGTGGAAAGTACCAAACAAGGTCAGAGTGTTATTAATGGTGCTGAAAAAGAGCCACAGGTGATTTTAGATCTCAGATGCACTTTGCCCACTTTAATTTCTCATATCATGTGCCTACAGAACATCAGCTGTGAAAACCTGAGACAGCTCACTCTATTACCTTGAAACAACTGTTGAAAACTGCACATAAACCTCAAAAATTAAAGTTCCCTTAGACAATGACTCTGTCACATGTGAACAGGGCAGGGAGATCAATTGGATAAGGAGGTTCTGAGGAAGGGGAACCCCTTTGGCACCACTTGCAGAGAGCAGGGCAGTAACACACAGAATCCTTCACTTGGTGTTGGAAAGGAGGAATTTTTCAACAGATCCAGTCCCTCACCAGTCTTTTGTGATATACTAGCAGACAGACTCAACTAGCCAAAAAAAGTCTGCTCAGGCCCTACTGACTGGGAATCTTTAGCAGCTCAATTATTTTGTGCTGACTGACCACCAAAATCCCAAGAGAGGGATTTTGAAATGTGCTCCTTATGGTCACGTGCGACAGTCAAAATGGCAGTGTATGACCTTACATGCAAATATAAGTGTTGAGCTAATGTGCATATAAAACACGAGGCCACTTCAATTGCATATCTTATTTCCTTATTTTGTTCTGGATGCTTCTCTTTTTATTCTCAAGATCTCTCCTGTCCCAGAAATACATCCCAAGCTACCTCCTTTTCCCAGGTAAATCCATCCCAAGATGCTATTTTTAGGAAGCCTGTTGGAAGGAGAGATATATATATCTCCTTACTACGTTCCCTGACTGGTGTAAACTAAAGAAAATAAAGTAATAGGAGTAAAGAACCAACAGGAAAATGCAAGCTGTGCTGAGCCTTGTGCTGCTCAAACACACTAGGGCCTGCTTGTCTGTCTGAAAAAGTCTCGCAACTGGATCACCATTACATTGATATTTATATCAAACCTGTCATTATCATTAAACAAATGACAGCCTGTCTGCAAGGGTTAGCCTTTCGCTGGAATGAAACTGCATGACATACTTGAATACAGAGCACATGCAGATCCTGCTAAGCCTTTCCTGCACTGGTAACACATAACCTTTCAGTTTTATTTCAAGAGACATATTGTCTCTCTGTACTGGAGCACAGCTTAGCACTTGATAGTATGAAGGGGCTTGGAGAGGATCTCTCATTCACTCCCCTGGAAGAAGACGGGATCTGAGCCTTCGTTCAGAGACTGCATTGCTGCAAGGACCAACAGATGACATGGTCCTACACATCACTTCCCTGATGGAAAAGAAATCAGTGATTCAGCATCTGTGTATTTTCCTCCTCCAGCTGCGGATCGATGCACAGCACTGTGTGCTGGTCTGCAACACTCACACCATACAAACAAGCCCTGCCATCTCCCCAGACCATCAGCCCTAGCTCTATGTGCATTCCAGAAGGCAGTATTATCTCAGGGATTAACTCCAGACAAAGGGTAAATTACTTGGCTTCTCCAGAACAGCTCTCTTCAGAGCCAGCTACAAAAACAAACAATGCAGTATTTCCTTAAAGGCTGAATGCTGTGGATACCACCGGGGAAGTAAACCAAACAAGGCCTGCTAAGACTGCAGCAGCATCACCTGGTAAGGATGACCACGTTACAGCGAGGAAAAGTTCCCATTTCAACACTTTCAGTCAGATCTTTTCCTGGTCCCACTCAATGCCCTTTCATGGTCAGACTCTGAAGCCACGTCTTGCTGAGTTATTCTGTTCTGTCCCTGACACGCTCTGGACACAATCCCAAACTATTAAGCAGCAGATGTCCCTATCCAGGTTGCCAGCACTGAAGGTGAAAGTTTATTACTGTCTCTTTGCATTTCCCTTGATATAAACAGGAAACAACCAGCATTAGACTCACTAAATGGAAAGCCAAACCAGATAGGCAAGGCAGAAGATGCTTCTTTTTCCATACACACCCTTTTCCCTCTCATTCACATACAAATTACTGTTGCATCCAGGTGGGAGGAGAGTTTGAAGAGGGGAGGGGGGAAGAAATGCTTGCCAAATAGGTTGAGGGATCAGAGGGCAGCTTTCTCATAAAGCGCAGGGCTGACCCACAAACTGCAAGAAAACCTCAAACTCCACAAGAGTTTCCCTCCTCCCCATTTTCAGGGTGAGAGCAGCCACAGCAGGGAACCAGTAGGCAAGTAAGGGGTCTAACCAGGTCACTCCACCCTTCTCTTCCCGCCTGGAGCACAACATGGGAGGGAAACAGACCTGAAATGTAGGCCATCTACAAAGACTGGGGGAGAGGCTTAAATGATGTGAGATTTATGATCTTCAAAGTGATTAGCACCCAGCACTCCAAATAAAGTCAAAGAGAGCTCAGCAGCTCTTGCATTCAGTTTGAAATTGGGTTTCAAACCAAACTTCTCTGGCTTGAGTTTGAAAACTTGAATTGCAAGGTAACAAAAAAAAAAAAGCCACCCAAAACCCAACCTCAAACCCCAAACCAAAATTAAAAACCCTACCAACCTCCACCCATAATGAAAGAGCTCAGCACCTGATCCTACATGAAAACAATTTGATATTTCCCTATCTTCCTTCTTCTTTTTTCTCGTCATTTGAAATCTATTTGCTGAATTGGAGATGAATGCGCCAATAGCTGAGGTCAACCTGAAACGTGAGTATACAATCCGTATGCTTTGGAGTCATGCTCATGTAAAATAAGAACAATAATGGCTCAAGTCTACACATGGCCTTGAGAGGGCCAAGAGAGGGAGACACAGAGCTGTTTCCACATGCCTGTGTCCACTCACGTGGACTGTTACAGCCCCATCCCTGACTGCACTGCAAAACCGCTGCTGCGGACATTACCTACGTTCAGGGGAATCGGGCCAGATTAAAAAAATCCAAACCAAACCAAACCCGATAAGCTTGTTCACACGCTTTTGCTTGTTAAACTTTGGTAAGTCCCAGTCAGGTTTGCTACCCGGTTACACAGATGTGCTGGCACAAATGAAAGGGATTTTGCGTTACCGCTTTGGTGGAAAGAGATAAACCAAAGTGGGAAGTGAATGCTACAAAAGACTGTCATAAACCACAGTCTCTTTCTGGGAGAAGGACGTTTCTATCAAGCAGACTCTGGCCCAAATCCCACTAACTGCAAGGCTGGCTGGCCCTGCAACTTTACCAGCATCCACTGATTCAGGGGCGTGCAGAGGACTAGGACCTTACAGATAACAGGTCAAGTCATCAGCGGGTGTAAATCAGCACTGCTTCACCACAGTCAATAACATTTCCTTGATTAACCTCAGCCCAGCTTCCAATTGTAACATCTTTGTGGTGTTGCCATAGGAAAAGTTTGCAACGTGTAACGATCTTGAACTTTCATAGCTTATTTCTATCTTGAGAGAATTTTCTTTTATCACTAGTTATAAGCAGATTGGATTCTTCTCTTGGCGTGTAAAAAGCCTGTGCTTTGGGCTCTGCAATCCACAGAGCTGGAGACACAAGACTTTTTGTTTTCAGCTGGGTATTCCAAGAACCTGGAAGATGGCTGAACATGTTAAGACACCTTTGATAGGAAGTTACCACCCACCCAAAACCAGAGCAGCCAAACCAAACAAACAAACAGTAGCTTTCTGACATGTGTCAGACAAAAGCCACCGAGGCAAGCCTGAAGGATGGAAAAGTCACAGTGAGAAGATTCAGCTGCCCACCTGCTGCTAGCAGGAAGCCTTTGGAAAGGATCACAAACCTTGAACTCAGGGAATGCATGGTTGGAAGCAGGTAGGTTGCTGTGCTGTTAAGAGTGCCAACATCCGCTTCAAATGCTAGTGACTGCCCATGAAGATACAGCCCCTTTTGCTTCCCTCTCTCCAGCTCCCTGGCCAACCCATGAAGTCCTGCAGCAAATCAGTGGGTTAGCTCTCTGGACCTCTTTTCTTCACAAGGTCAGAGTTGATGGTGACTGATGGCCACAGGAGTCCTTAACTCTGGACTCAGAGATCATTTTCTCATGTGTCTGCACAGATTTCAGATCTGTACACTCTGAAGAGCTGTCACCTTCCTCCCCTTGCAATTCTCATGTGAGATTTGGGGATTTCTTAGAGCCACATATGAAAACCTCCAGGCACTGAGACAGGGGTTGCTTTTAGCTGTGTGAAGCAGGAGGATAACAGCAAACATAGAACAGACAACGGTCTCTCACATATTCATTTGCAATTAGGGCTTGCTTGCCCTGCAAGAAGCGCTTGCTTTTATCTGCTGTCCCTTTCCCCACTGTCTTGCAAAGAGGAATCTGCTGTTGTAGGCAGGCCTGGTCTTGACCTACGCACTCCAAGACCTCAAACCGCCTCATCCTCGGTCCTTGCTGATACTCCTGTGAGTCAGCCCCGTGCTCTTAGACTCGTGTACCACAGTGCTTTCAGCACCACTGTCACCAGCAGTAGAAATGCATAGGGCTTTGGGGAGTGATTTGCACATTTGCCAGTGTAACTGAGGTTCCTTTTGTTTCTAAATGACAATGGAATAAAATAAAAAGCCAGAAAAAGCCTCCAGCAAGCGGTGATTTAAAGAAACTCTTTAATTAACTGAACTTCTATGAAATAGGAAGGCCTGGAAACCAGAAGTTTAATCTGTCATTTTATCCCACAGAGGGAATTGGGAATAGCTTCCGTGGTCTGTTTATTGGTAGCTTCTGACCCAACAGTTTTTATCTCTTAGCAGTAGCTGCCTGGGACTCAGCAAAATGAGCAATTAAAAAACAGTAACTCAAGAAAGCAGGAGAATACCTGGTAATCCAGGCAGCGTCTTACCTGCCTGTTAAAGTCCAGCCCATTCTGTTCATTTCCTACAATGAAACACACAGAAAAATACCTTAGTATTAATGACAGTCAGCATTGATGCAAACTTTCCAGAACTTGGAACACATATAAACAAATACACTGCTAGCACAGCTCGGTTTGCTTTAAGAGGAAGGAGAGAAGGAGGAAGGTGGAGTCAATGCGAATGCAGCAGTACAAGTACAAAAGCAGCTTTTGCAACATTTAGTGGTATCAGCCTTTGCTGAAGTGCCTGGGAGACACCTGGCCAAGCAGCAAGGCGGGGGGGAGAAGGCTCACTGACTGCAAGGAAGATTCCAGCAGAGGTGAGCTGGAGGATGTTACAAATCTCCAGGGAAATCCAGGACCAGGGCACTGTACATAAAGCAAGAACTAACTGCGGGAGAGGCTAGCAAACAGGTGGCCAAGGCTGTTAACCAGGGATCTTCAGGAACCCATGTGGCACTGAGTAATTACGGGATATCTAAAGGAACAGAGGGTGCCATGGGGTTGTGCTCAAGAGGCGTCTCCTTGATTCCAAAAGAGATTGGCAGACACAGGGGGAAAATCAGACAGGTTTCAGCCTGAAGGTACTGCACAGGCCCTCACTCATTCCCCTTTGAAGATAAACATTCCCCCCCCCATCACACCTGCCAAATTCATCAAGAACATCACAGAGGAAAGGTTGTACGCTCCACAGTTATGAATGCTTTAAGGGATTCCACGAAGCCTCTTCAGTTGCAAAGGCAACCCCAAGAAACCCCTTCCCTTCCCTCTGCAATCAATTCCCGAAGTCATCCTCTTCCAGTCCAACTTTGTGATAAATAGTCTTGAATTGTTCACATCCCACTAGCACAAGCCCCCAGGGCCTCCTCGTCCTGTTTTTTCCAGTATAACATTCCCCATAAAAAATAGCCCATGCCCTGTGATCCGATCAAGCTTCAACACATCATGTTTTCAGTAGTTCACGTCTCTTGCAACAAGTTGGAAAGCAGTTAAGGGAGGGTGTGCAGGCAGGAGTTCAAGCCCAGCTCTCCCATTGACTTGCTTTCTTCAGCTGAACAAGCCTCTACCCTAACCTAAGCATGCAGTTTTTCAGCTTGCACCATGCACGTAACATTCCCAGGTGAATCAGCATGGTTCTTTGAGATCCTCAGGGGCAAGCGTGCTTGGCACAATTATTCACAGATGGCAAAATATTTTAGAGTCAATGATAACAATTTCATGGCACCCTGTTCTCTGCTATCTAGAAACAGCTCTGGAGATTTAATCTGCAACATGTTAACGGCATTGACTGTGGAAGCCTAGCTGCCTTTGTTTCTCCTGTTAGGCTGAATTGTAGGTCTCGCTATCAAACAATACCAGAGCACTACTTCACAGCAGAACGAGCTGTTGTCCCCCGCTCTGAAATCTCCTCTGTCTTCTCACTGTCTGCAACTCAACCCAGACCCAGCTCTGGACCTTCTCCCCCAGCCTGTGTGTGTTTCTGCTCTGCTAGAGCCTGCCCTAACTTCCTGTCTTCCTCCAGACCTGCACCTCAAAGCTTTTTCTCTTCCCAATCTCAGATCTTTATCTTCTTCCATGTAATTCCCTACTCTGCTACAACCTCCAACTTGCCACACGCTTCTGTGCTCTGGCGTCTCTCGCTGTAACCATCTGCTCCCTGACCACCACTCTCCAGCTGCTCCCGCCCAAGGAATTTGTTCATTCATTGCGTTCCAGCTCTACGCCCCAAGAGCCAACAACTGCACATAGAACGATGGGAATGCTGATAGTGTTAATAGATGATTGCAATCAGTATCCACACACCTGAGCAGGACTGTGTGAGGATCTTCAAGGCCTGCAGTTTCTACCTTTGAAACCCACGGGGGGTTGATGCAATCCACACAGAGTAGCTAAAGGGAAGAAAGGCAAGGAGGAGAGGAGGAGGAAATAAAGTTCCCCATTGCTAAAATAGAACAGGAAGGAAAAGTTAGTCCTCTGATTTCTTGGGTACAGGAGTTTCACTCACGTTCAAATGCAGCATTTTGATGAGGCAAGATTCAGAGACCTTGAGGGAAATCCCTAGGTCCCAGTGATGATGGCTCTGAGTCACTATCATACACCCCAAAACTTTGAACTTGACATGCACAGCTGGAACGGAGTTTCACTCCACGTTGCTACCAGCAGGCTCAAGTTCTCCAGCACATTCTTCCCTCTGCTTCCAAGCTTCCCATCTCCCACTTTTTCCTCCCAGCACAAGCACATGCAGCTAACAGACTTCTACATTTCTTCTTCCCTTCCTCTCCTACAAGTCCAGCTTTCTCCAAGTCCTATCCTCTGTTCTCTTGCACGTCCCACTGCAGATCAACAGGGGTGTTCGAGAGCACCTCAGCCAGGTATTTTGTGACAGCGGAGTATACTGCAAATATGCATGGAGTTTGACATTAACTCCGTCATAGCTTGGGCGTCTGAGATAACTGCCCCAGGCTGTCTTGGTAGACAGTGAGGAGAAATAGGCACCTCCAGAGGCCATTCATCTGACCTATCTCAGACGCCTATCTTAAGTCGAGATGAATGGCCCTCTGGAGATGACTATTTCTCTTTATTGACTACAAAGGGACCCAGGGGCAACTAGTTCAGACTTAGATGTCCAACAGTGAGATATTTAAAACTGGGCGAGGTGATTTCTACTCCCAGTGGTTATGTAAATGGGAGCTGGATACACAAATCTCTTCAACTTTTCAGCAAGACCAGTGAGTGAACAGTGAGTGTTTGTGTACAGATTTATTTGCAAACAAATCTCATTTCTTTCTATTTCAGTAAAAGCCTGTGTTCAAGTAAAATTAAAATTATCCTAGCTGCAAGCCAAGGTTTGGGGATGTGATAGGGATAAAAACTCTCCTCTTTCAGTTAAATCAGTAACTTTCCTACAAATATTTTTAAAATAGACTCAGTTTCCTGCCAGTTTCTATCAACATCAGGACTCACAATGAAGTAGTCATTTCTCCCCTTAAAGGAACGGGCTGTTCAAACAACAAGGATCTGCACTTAAGATTTAATCTTCTCTAGCTCCAGGAGATAAAAAGAAAGAAAAGTGTAAGTGGCAGCAGATTCTCGGCTGCTGTAAACTGCCAGAACTCCACTAATTTTAATGGAGCTTCCCACTAGCCAACAACTTGCCTCTTGCTACACCAGCCAGACACAATGGGATCCAAAGTCTCCAGCATCTGCTAGATGCAGTCCTCCCCTCCTTAAATTGCATCAAACTGGGGAAGCCTGGGACTTTAATGGAAAACGATTACTTTGAGCCCCTTGCACTACAGGTCCCAGAAGCTTCCCCATCACACAAGACTCCATTACCCTCTTTATGGGTGTTCTGGACAGGGGGAAAAAGGCAGTGATAAGCTCAGCTGGCTCCCCGCAGAACGGCAGACAAGGCCTGTGCTGCTCTCCTTGGTTCACCTGGCAGCTGTTTTGCATAGCACTGGCATCAGATCTGGTGCGAGTTTGCCTGGGGAGGTTTCTCTGGGGATGGGAGCAGGCAGAACAGTTCCGGACAGCTTCCCCCCACCCGCTGCTGTTCCCCCCACCTGGAACATGCTGTTTGCTGTGAAAACCAAAGGCAAGTGCTCTATCAGAACCGACAAAATTCCCACTGGAAGTCGTCGAGCCAGTCCAGCACTTGAGCATAGAAGTGCCATAATGGGAGAAACGTAAAACCAAGATTGCAGCGTGCCTTCACCTTTGCAAGGCAAACACATGCAGCAACATGCAGATGTCAGCTACGGGGAATGACAGCCGCCCATGGCTTTTCACCCAATGACAAAAACAGAGCTGCAACCAGAAGGCTAAACTTCTCCCCTTCCCACCCAACTACACACTTGATTAGCCTCACAGTTTGATCTCAGCTGCACAGAAGGGATAGGGAATAAGAAGGTGATTTCAATCTTTAACAGGTGTTGGGGAATTCCCACAGGGAATCAGTTTTCTGCCGCATGCATTTGGGAGGGAAATTCAGAACAGAGGAACAGTGCCAGGCAGACACCAGGCAGGGGATTCATCTGCCTGGGCTTAGATGTCTAACTTTTAGGTGTCTAATTCTGAGCCAATTGCTCTAGGCTCCCTTTAGAGCCACAGAGAGGAAGCAGGCACTTCCAGAGGGCAATTCATCTCGCCCCCAAGATAGACGGGCTGGGAGATGCATCACCTTCTGGAGATACCTATTTTCATCATTGACTGTACAAGGAGCCTGGGGTGAGTAGGTCAGACTTCAGCCTCAAAGTATTGAATATCTAAAATTAAGATTAATCTCACCTATCCTGAAGATTTTAGCACTCCAGCTGATAAAGCACAATGCCATTAGAAATTGAGCAAGCAGGCCAGACGCAGCGTGCCTTTCAATGTCCATTCTGTCAGAGCTGAGAAAGTAACTTGTTCACATTAACTGAGACAAGAATCAAATCTCTCACCTCAAACGATATGTGAAAAGATTACCCAAGAGGGGGTAAAGAAAAGGGTGGCAACAATTATTATAACTATAAAGAATACTTGACCCACATGCTGTAAATGAAGCAAAACGCTCACCTGCACTGAGAAGGATGTGGTTCTATTAACAAAAAAGATGTTCAGCATCAAATACACTCCTTGGGATTTCAATTCACTGTGGAGACTCAAGCAAATACCCAGCCACAGCCCTGGTGCTACTGTTACCAGCAGTCAGACCAACACCATCTCCAGAACTAGCAGGAAAAGCCCTGGGTGGTAGGAGCTCATTTAAATCACCTTCTCTCCATTTTAGTCATTACCCCTTATTCCCTCCAGCTGTGTCCAGTGACACTGGGGAGAGAAACTGAAGCTGAGCAGCCACCAATCAGTTCCCTGGATCCTTTTGTGCCTTGCTGGGATGCTCGCTGTTCCCAAGGCTTACCTTAAGAAGTGCTTTTTAAAGGGAGCAGGGGAAAGCGTGAACAGGATAGGGAGTTTTCAAAGCAGACAGGTAGGGCTGAAGTTTTCATGTTAATCTTTTGCTCTAAAGACACAAACAGAC